TCTAGTGTGATTATGGATGGGTGATGAGTGAGAAATATGATCTGTGGCTCCGCTATCTACGATCCAACAGGTTGTTGAATGCGGAGAATGTTGTGTACCTGTTGCATGTGCAAGCGGCAGATTGGTACCATTCTTATTGTGAAGGAGGGCCATGAGTTGATGATATTCCTCGGTTGTGAACGTTGGTTGATTGCTGGAGATGGGTACTTTGGTTGCGTCAATCTGAGCAGTTGTCAAAGGGAGTGTTTCAACATTGTTGGAGGCTGGAGGTGTACGCCTATTTCTGGGCTGCACATTCTTTCCGTGCCATTTGTGTCCTTCAGGGAAGCCAATGAGAAAAAAACAACGTTCAACTGGATGTCCTCCGTCACAGTAGCTGCATTTGAAAAGCTTTCGTGAACTAGGGTTGTGGGTGCCATAGCCTCCTTTTGGTGCTGTTGAACGACTGGATTGCATTGCATGGGCAGTGGGTTCACGACAATTCACCACATCCAATTGGCGTTCGTGTTGGAGAACCAATCCATGGACTCGTCGTGTATCCGGGAGTGGGCTCATCATCAATATAGAGCCTCGGATGGTGGAGTAGTTCTCGTTCAGTCCCATTAAGAACTGCATGACTCTCTCTTTTTCTTCCCTGTCTGCATGCGCCTTGGATCCTTCGCATCCACAAGCAATGGGCTCATGGTATGATGCTAATTCATCCCAAAGAGCCTTTAATTTTGTGTAATAATCTGAAACAGATAGCTGTCCTTGTCGGTGTTCGACAATCTCTTGTCGGATTTGATAGATCCTGGAATCGTTGCCTTGCGAGAATCGATCCTCAAGATCCCTCCATGCTGCTGTCGCAGTTTTGCAGTAGAGTATACTGTGAGCAATGTTGCCTTGTACGGATTGCCAAATCCAAGATAAGACCATGTCGTTGCATCTCTGCCAAATTGAATATTTAGCATCAGTGGTTGCAGGGTTCTTGATTGAACCATCAACAAACCCTAGTTTATTTTTGGCGCTGAGAGCAATTCGCATGGAGCGGCTCCATTGTCCATAGTTGTGTCCATCGAGAGGTTGTGAGACTAAAACAAGACTTGGTGAGTCTGAATGATGTAGAGTAAGAGGATCAGATACATGAGGTATCATCTGGTCGCCCATGGTGGCTGGGTTTGATGAAGAGAAAATGGTTGTGTTTGTGGCGGAAGCAAAAATGAGCCTTCCAGAGTCACCAAGATCGGTGCTCTGATACCATATAAAAGTTTGGATCCAATATATTTGAATGAATGTTCTGCTACAATTGCAGCAGAACTTATATACAAGATTATTACAGACGCATGCAATAAACAAAGGACAGAAAGTGGCATCCATGCTGTCCTTGTTGAAGCAGTCAGTAACCACATGCAGTGGCCTTGCTGTCCACGTTAATAGTGCATCCACACATGCTAACCTAGCTGTGAAGGAATGATCATATTCCTTCTGTCCATATTCCTTCTGTCTAGCATCAGAGTAGAGCACCTTTAACACTATACAGTTCCAGCAGTTGTATATGTTCATTCATAATCCCTTTTCCGGTTTAACAATGAAATTTGCAATCCGTCATCTCTTCCATCACTCTTGGTACAGTATTGGTATTGTATACGCATACATTTGTCTAAGTAATGTAACTAATTCATTGGTTGTGCTACTGGGCCATATATTTCTCTGGCAATACCTTATCAAGCTAAAGTGGTTTGTGGGGCTGGGAACACACAGGGAAGCACCACAACAAAGATGGGCATTCTATCATTTGGACTGGTTGGCATGACAGAAATAAGGTATATAGTTTTACATTTTCTGTATTGATCGCTAGGTGCCCGTTATGTTCATACCAAGACATAGTTGAACCGAGGTTCTTTAAATCTTAACCCGGTGCATGCTTCTAAACCCATTTTAATTTCTGTTTGTAACCCCCTCTCTTTTTTTTACAGGGATCCAGTGACCTGAAATCACTGAATCAACAGAGAGAACCGAGCAGTCCAAAGGAGAAAACTGGCGAGGAGGGGAAAGACCAGGTAGCGGAAAAGTGATGGATGCCCCTTTCATTGCCATGAAACAGAGATTGAAGCAGCTGCTGCGTATTTGTTTGCTTTCCTCTTTGTATTTATATAGTGGTGGCTGAGGGAAGCCAGCCATCAATCTGTAAACTTGTCAATTTTCAGCAGCGGGTTCTGTTCACCCCTAGACGGTTAGAATGTAAAGCATATTAGTTCTTTGTTTAGTGGTCATTTGTTTACAATAATGACGTTTAAAATCAGTTTTGGCCTCTGTTAATGATATCATCGTCATTATCAGCAAGTAGGAACATTCTTTCTTTGTTTATTGGATTCAGAAAACCGAATAAGAATAACTGTAATTCCCGGCTCTCCTCCATTAACGGGTCGGAGCCGGAGATGATGAAGCCATTTCTGTCTCATCTGCCTCGACTACATTCTCTGTATGCACTGCCTCGACTACGTTCTCTGTATTCTCTCTAAACTTTTTGTATATGTCACTTTTGTAGAATTTAAGCGTTCTCATCAGCAAAATAAGTGACGCGAGAGCTGAAATAAGTGTTGTTGCAGTCAAAACTGTAAACGACAACTTATAACATCGAGTGCCAATACATGTTAGATCCTGGCCCTTGATCCTGTGCAGACCCAGCCTAGCAAGCTCCTTCTCTGCCTCTGTCATAGAGCATTCCGGTGACCCTCACATTGAGTAGATAACTCCCGAGGGGACTCGCCAAATGTCCACAATTGAAGAGGGTGGAGTAGTACTTCAACCCGAAAACTTCAGAAATGATTGCCAAAGCCAGTGGTAACTGAGCTCCGAGAGTAAACCCGACGATGACTGAAGCAATGTACAGGGAACCAGGGAATGCAAAAGCAATGAGAAGGTAGGCAATGCCTTCTAGTGTAAGAACAACAGTGAGCATAAGGGGTCTTGGGATTTTATACCTCGTCAGTAGGATTTCGGAGACGAAACCGGAAAAGATTCGGCCGAAGAAGTTCCATATGCTGATGAGTGACACAAATGTGTTTATGGTCTGAGGTTTGTAACCCAAAGCTTCGCCAATTTGGCCGAGGTTGTCGGTAGCAGTGAAGCTCGATCCGAGTCCAAATAATGTTGCAATGAATATGAGTAGCATGTCAATGCTCAAGATTGCTTGTAAAATGGTGTAGTCTTCTCCTCTTGGTGGTTTCTTGAAAATGTTTGAGAACAACGACGTACCTTTCGGCTTGATCTCTTGATCCAACTCCAGTTCTTGTGGTCCTTGATCTGGTTGTCCTTGTTCTTGTGTTTCCTCTAAGGCTATTCGATGAGGTTCTTGTTTCGTCAGTGTCCAGCTGACTAACTCCTCTCTGATGATAATCAAGAGAGGAATCAAAGCAGGAAGCAAACCACCGCGGCGGTCATAGCTTGGGCTGCCCGGGGGAAGACAACCGATTTCTGAGTCAGAGTCATTGCCATGAGAAACAAGGCAAGAACAATCGACACGTACAGAAAGCGAAAAAACACTTTGAGTTGTCGTTTTTGTTGTTGATTTTCAGCAGCTGCTGTGATTTTTATCGGACGAATCGTGCACAGAAACACAACTGAGATTGCAGCTGGGAGCCAACCGATGAGAAGAATCAGAGCTCTCCTGTCCTGAAATCCATACAATGCTAGATATATTTGGGTGATGATCGCCCCACTGAGGCCGATGTACCCTTTGAGGAGGCCGATCATGATGCCGCGGCTTTGTGGGAAGTTTTTGACGCAAGTAACCATAACTCCTGTGTTCACAAAGCTCAGAGAATTTGCTGCAATGCACATGTAGACACACATGTGCCAGATTTCTGGCTTCGCGATCTTTCCCGTGACGCCTAACCACATCATGAAGTAGCCGAGGAAGTTCATGGCAGCCCCAATGAGGAGCACAAACCACGTTGGTGTTACCTCGGCTATTAAGCCTGCGAAAATGCCGATGTTGGCCCCAAGGTCTTTGAAGAACCCCAGCAGGTTGAGGGTTTCTTGGTCATAGCCAAAGGTGGTTTTGAGCTCTTTGGAATAAGTTCCAAACAGATAAATTGTACCTGAACCAGACATCACCATCAATGAAGCGAAAACGGAAAACCATTGGCTTTTTGCCGCGAAAAGTACGAAACTCGGTAGATTTCCGGTGCACCCAGTTGATGGTGTTGGTGGTGCCTCACTCATTTTGCTTAGATCTCAGTTTTTGGTTTGGGAGGATTAGCAAATGGATTACGTGTTTTACCATGAAAACATTATTTCTTGCTACCAATAAAAGAAACCAAAATCAATATTCACTTGGAAAATTGTTTTTGTTTGGCATTCTTAGGCATTATCCTTAAAAAAAAAATCTTAATAATTAGTTTAATCTTTTTATGTTTTTCTAACAAGATTTGGAGATTTTCTAGTATATTTCGGAGTTTTTACCGTTAGATTCTTGGTCAAAAATCATGATCCAAATGCTAAAAATCCAAAAGTATAGGGTACCTAGAGCACCATATAATTTTCGTCAAATTAGTTGCATATTTTCAGGAGCCTCAGAACCACCAAACTGCAGCAAAAGGACTTGGATTCTCTGCCCTCCCATTTCGGTGTCCTCCCCGTGCCCTCCTGTTTTGTGTGGTCACGGTTAATCCATGCTAACATTTTATATTGTTTTTTATAAAAATAATAAGACAAAAAAAAAATAGTAATATAAAATATTGACGTGACTTAACCGTGACCACACAAACAGGAGGGCACGGGGAGGGCACCGAATTGGGAGGGCAGAGAATCCAAGTCCGCAGCAAAATCCCATACTCCAAAAAACAGCTAGTGCTAGATACAGTAAAATTAGGAAGTAAAATAATTAGTTTAGTTCTCATGGTAAAGTATTTTTCCTACCTTTGAAACTGATTCAAATCGAAAACTCTTACTTGAGTTTTCAGGTTATGAATGATAAGCATAATCGTACGCGATACAGATAAATTTACAGGCTAACGAAGCATAAATCTTGTGTATTATTTATAAAACTTGCCTTGCACTCTAAGCCAAGTTCATCAATCCGTTCACATATACAAACATTTCTCATTCCAAGCATCCACAGGCTTTTCATATAAACGAATGAAAAAGTAATACAAAGCAATCTTGACAGGGCTTGGAAATTACATTTTACACAACACAGCAGAACTATACCCCCGAATACTTGAAAAGAGAAGGTAGGATGAAACGAAACCTCCGGATCTATAGATATTTGAAGAATAAAGATGTAAAAATACAAATCAAAATCACTGCACGAAGGCACACAAATATATAATACAGCATTCCGGCTCTGTATATATTCAAGAAGAAAAAACAAAGAAGAGAAACACTATTTGCTGATGATGACTGATGAGACACGAAATGGAGATGGGAAGAAACTTTCAGAATTAGGATCTGATGGCATGTTATCATCCACGATCAATATCAGTTCAGACTCCATACCGTATGAGCATCTATCAGATACTATCATAACATTGCGATGGTTGGCGTGTCCACTACCACAATTGAGCTTCCTTTTCAATATCCCTCTTGGTTCTAGGGGGAGTACAAGGGGCAAGACGGGAGCTTTGGACTGGCTCTGTTTCATGGTCATACTTCTGTGAAGCAAGGTAAGTCAAAGCTGTGACGACATCAGCTATAACTGGCCGCATATTAGGCTGCTCCTGAACACACATTCCCGCAACTGCAAGAGCTTGGTACAACCCCCTTTTGGGATACTGACCCTGGAGCGTTGGGTCTGCCATTTGCGAAAGTTTCCTTCGGTCTTTAAACAAGGTTCTTGCCTGAAAAAAGAAAGTAGTAACATGTGAGTGTTAAATATCAGAATAATTTCTGATTTGCAGATTTCTTTATTGATGGTCAGTCATATTATTAAGAATATGAAAGAGCTGAAAAAAAAAGGGAATAAGAAAGAGCTCAGAAGGCTTCATTACTTAAAAGAATATGAAACATGTGAACCGAACGGAATATCTTACCCACTCAACCAAAATCTGTTCTCCTGCACCTCTGGTATTGTCAATCGCTGTCCTGCCTGTTATAATTTCCAAAAGAACTACACCAAAGCTATAAATGTCTGATTTAAGAGTCAACTGCCCTGTCATTGCATACTCTGGAGCACAATATCCATACGTTCCCATTACCCATTTAGATACATGGGTGTTATCCCCAACAGGCCCAAGTTTGGCTAAGCCAAAACCAGACAGCTTTGGATGATACCCTTCACCGAGCAAAATATTGGAGCATTTCAAATTTCTGTGTAGAACAGGAGGACTTGCTTTGTCATGTAGATACTTCAATCCCTTCGCTGCACCAGCGGCTATTTTCATTCGCGTATTCCAATCAAGTCGTCTCTTACCTGGTAACACATCTGCAAAAGAAGCTTATGAAACCAGTTCCACCGAAAAGCTAACTAATGAATCATTAAAGGTTAAGAAGCATCTGGAATTCGAAAGCTAATGCAAAAGGCTATAGACACCATGTAAATGGTCGCCCAATGACCCTAGGGGCATATATTCATAAACAAGAAGCCTTTGATCTCCATCCGCACAATAACCAATAAGATTAACAAGATTGGGGTGGTGAAGAAGACTAAACATCAACAATTCAACAAGGAATTCCCTGTTCCCTTGTAATCCATCACGATCAAGTTGTTTGATAGCCACTACCTACACCGAACACAACGATAAGTTTCAAATTCCATGACCAACTACATCGATCGCATATTAGAAGGTAAATCTCCTAGTAAGCTAGAATCTTCATCCCATGCTTTGCAATCTGTAGTCTATGAAGAAAATTTCAAAATAATCATTCCCCAATCCACCCCAACCCAAAAAAGGAAAAAAAAAAACAGCCTTGAAAATATCTACACACACGTATATGTGTAAAGCACTCGTAAAACCTCTTCGGGGTGCTTTATTGTTTCATGTTCAATGAAATAAAAAGATAACCATGACTAACCTGATTTGTCCTTTCCAAACGTCCCTTGAATACTCGACCAAATCCACCTTCACCCAAAAGACATTCTGCCCTGAAATTTCTAGTTGCAGCTGCCAATTCACGAAATACAAAAGTCTGTGCTTCAATGTGATCAGACCCTCGATCTTTTGGATCCTCCTTGACACTCAAAATGGAACTAGTCTTTGAAAAACCTAAAATCAAACATGGAAAAGAAGTGAGAACTTTTAATAGTTAAAAAGTATGAGTGATTTCTTTCACAATGGAGAAAATAACCAACCTATAAACTTCTCATAAATATAGCAACTAAATTGTAATAAAGACTGAGCTGGATTTTGCAGATGATGCCAAGCTTTCCGAAAACAATCCTGCATGGCTATATGCAATACCAGGAGTATAAGCCGCATTTCTGACAAGAAAACAGCAAGAACAATGCTACAAAGATTCCTTCTTTACCAGTGCATTGTATGATGTGCCGTCATAATTCATATTTAACTACAACAACAGTTCATACCCTATCAAATTCAATCCCAAAGTTATCTCAAAATTTGAAAAATTCTACTCAAAGACACTAATCTGCATACTAAAAACTGAACAAAATAATACTTCACATGAAATATCTAATCTTCTGCAAAATTTAAAAGAAACCCAGATGGATAAAAACAATTACCAAGCCAGTAAATTCATCTGTTAATCACCAGCAGCACAGATTGAGGTAAATTTAGATAAACCAGTAAGTACCTGAAGTGGGTTTGATCTGATCAAGTGGCTTATCCTGTAACTCAATCTTGTTCTTCCTTTTCTTCTTGGTTTTTGCTTTACAGTTGGAATTACCAGAACAGGGAATCATCATCCAACCCATGATTTTATATTGCTGTTTGAGAAGCCAAAGACTCCAAAAGAGAAAAAAGCAGCAGTTAGAAAAAGCAGTCTCTACAGAGACTCTTCAAACCTTCCCCAACTTTCCCAAAAGGAAAAACCCCACACGAGCTACTCAGATAACGAGAGCTTATAAATTTGTATATCGAAAAGCTGGAACTTAGAAGTAAGCACATTTTTTATTCCACCAACTCTGATTTTTCTTTCTTTTTTTTGGTTGTCATGGGATATATTTGAGAATCGGAAACCAAATTTAGGTAAAAGATTCGACCTGTTGTAAATCAGTGGATGTACACTCAACCAGAAGAATAAAGATAGCTGTCAACCAAGTTGGTTTCAGTGCCTTCCAACCTTGGCCATCAAGATTCTCTAATTATTTTGATTAACAAAACAAGTTGGTTTCTGTCATAAAACCAAATTTAGGTAAAAGATTCGACCTGTTGTAAATCAGTGGATGTCCACTCAACCAAAAGAATAAAGATAGCTGTCAAACAAGTTGGTTTCAGTGCCTTCCAACCTTGGCCATCAAGATTCTCTAATTATTTTGATTAACAAAACAATTTGGTTTCTGTCATAAAATAAGGGGAGCACACCCCCACACAACACAAGACTGGGCAGAGAAGAGAAACGGAAGGAAGAGATAAAAAAAAAAAGAAAGAAGAGAACAAAGAATAGATAAAGTTATCTTTGTAATCTTATTATTTCAAATTATAAAATAAAGCATTATTGCTGTCTCGAGGACGTACTTCAGTTGCATTGACTGTAGAGGATCCTTGTGTCTTATTTCATTTATTCTACTGCACACATACCGTCGAATTCACAACACATTATCAGCATGAAAAGCTTTTATGTCAGTGGAAAGCACAATGCCACAAATTCGGTCCACCTCTGTCAGTTGGAATCCTACAGATAAGAAAATCTTTTCATATCACCCTCAAATCTATGTACTACTGATTTTCTTAAAGCAAATATATATATATATATATATACACACACATACTCAAAATCCGTATAGAATCTGATAGCCATGTAAATAGTCTCGGAAATCCAACTTACTGATCTCGGATTGAAATACTTTCTTCCTGAAAGTTGTTCGTCCGCCCAGTATCTACAATATATCAAATTTTCAGAAAATTCCAACGATACGATCATCGCAGATGTTTGAAATGCCAAACCAGTTTCCAATTTCAGCAGAAAACTAGACAGTCATCTTATGAGTACCAAAACTCCATTTTCGGTAGCTCAGATCGAAATTGTTTTTTCACGAAAGTTGTTCGGTATCCTTTTATCCTCTTGTTCATATCAAACTAAAATTTGAGCTAAATCTAACAGTTTGATCTTCTCATAAGTTGCAAGCACTATTCCTGACTCCAAAACTTATGGGAACCGTTTATGTTCTTTCGAAACTCATCGGATGAGGAACATCAATTGAGACTTATTGTTACTATTACTTCCTGGGTAACTAAAAAGACTTAAGAGTTGTAAAAATAAAATAAAATAAAACATAAGAGATGAAACAAAAGAAAGTGGCATACAAAGAAAAAGAAAAGAAGAAAAAAAAATAATGGAAACTTAATCATTACCCTTTTCTATTATTGCTTTATTTAGATGAATGGTGCTTGTTTAAGGTCTTTTCACAAATTTAATTTACTAATTAAATGTAATTTATTTACAATGAGTGTTATTATCGCCATTTGCTTTAAGTTTTGATTTATTTATGTGAATGATGTTGAATTAAAGTCTTTGTCACAAGCTTTATTTACTTATAAACAATTTATTTATCATGGTTGAAATTACTGCCTATTGCTTTAATTTATTTATTGTATTTCTTTTGTTACGATGAGTATATACAGGATCCGAAGTTCCTTGATTAGATTAGAACCTACAATTTCTTGATCCTCATCATATAAAATGATTGGACCCGAAGTTCCATCATGAAAAAAGATCATATATAAATTTCCGTTAGGAGATTATAGAAAATAAGTTGTAGTCATGAATTTTCAGCAAGAGAAGTTCATCAGGTTTGTTTCATTTACAATGGTCTACAACGACATCCATAACTCTTTATTAAGTTGTTTTGTTTTTGGGTTAGACACTTATATGGTCACGCCTCTGTTATCTACCTCCTCCTCTGACTCTCCTTTATGTTTCTTCTTCCTCTCACTACAAATTACAAATATGGCGGAATCGGTGGAGTTTCCCACTAGCCTCGGCATCCTTCCTTTCCGAAACAAGGTCCTATTACCAAGCGGCATCATTCAAATTCGATGTAATTCACCCAAAAGGTACCTTTGAGCCCTAATCTTTCTCTTTTCATGCTTTATGGTGAAATATGTATTTTTGAATGGTTTTGTGGGATTTTTGAGCATAAATTCATTACCAAGTGCTGTTATCCAGATAGTGTATACTTTTTTTGGAAATAAACAGTGGATGTTATGGCTTGGAAAGAATATCTAATATTTGAATGTGTGATGTATGTGAAGCATCTGTCAATGAATTCAGCTTTCATATATCAAGTTAACCAACTTCATGTTTTCTTAATAACTCAACTAATCAAGTTCTTTGTTTTCTTTTGTTTCCGATTCATTCAAAGTTTGGACAAATAATGATAGTAGAGGGAGTTTTCGATCACTACCTTCCGTTCTAGGTTTTTTTTCTTTTTTTTTTCCCTTTCAATTTCACTTTTTATTACCAAAATTGTGGCGTTTAAAAGGGTGAATTTAACATGATTGGATTACGACTTCCTTACATATTTAGACCATAAGAGGGGGAGTAGGGTTGCTATATTCAAGCTCTCTTTTTTTTTTTTTTTTGAATTGGATTTCATTTTTTTTTTATGGGTTGATCATACATCATTCATGAGAAGTGGGATGGTGAGTTTCTCAATACAGTTTAAATTTTTGTGCAAATAATGTTTGTAAAAAATGTGTTTTTATTTAGTTCATTGTAGATTCTTATTCTTGTATTTAGTTCACCATTCATGCTTCTAAAGATAAGAAGTGCAATGCTCTCTCATATGTTAGTTTTGGGAGGTAAAGTTTTGAGCTTTTTGCATTAAATGTCCTGTTTTCGGGACGAAATTTGGTGTTTTAAGAGGTCATGAACAAATTGTTGTTGGTTAGGTTTTGTGTTGTTGCGAATTGGCTTCAGATCCTCACTTGATATCCCATTTATGCGAATTTACTTGAGGTCCTCACTTAATTGGTATTCTTCCCGTTCAAGATGCTGTCGAGGCAGCAACAGTGGACTCTGTGTTGTCTCAAGGTGATTTCTGCTTATTTCCCCATTTGACACGGATGAGTGGATGCCTATGATTAGGTGAAAGTGAAATCTAAGAGGCTTTAGAAATGGGAAGTTATTCTGGTGAACGAAGATCTAGAGTTCAAGTTTGTACATTTGATTCTCACAGGCTAGATAGATAGAGAAAATTAGCATAAACTTATTCACTGTCATACAAGGTATACTTGAATCAAAATCTATTTTGTTATTCATTGGAAAGTGTTTCTGTTTTATGGGGCCACAACTTAACTTACAGATAACACAGTGGTCCATCTAATCATGCATTTGTTGTGATTGTTTTTAATTCAATCAGTTTGACTGCCCCTTTAACCCTTGATTAAGCCATGCTCAGTTGATGTATATAAAAGCCAAGTTGCTTATCTTATTGACCTCATTCACTCATGTGTCCCTCTATTCATTCATGATTGTGTTGAATTTATTCAAGTTAAATGCGTCTTATTCATGCAATTACGCCTGAAACAATTGGTTCATGTTGCAACGTGCGGGCTTATTATTTAGTTTAATACAAATAAAGAGAAAATGTAATACTCTGATGAGCTAATTGAAGTCAACAAGGGTTTTTAACCAAAATAGTTTTTGAGATTGATGTAAATCTTCACATTAGTGTTTGAGATTGTCCACCATCAACCGATTTAGTCATTTTGTGAAAAATCTCCGCTAAATTGACGAAACCACCGGTCAAGTGGAGGGGTTAATTTGACAAAAAATATCCTCAATTGAACGGAGATTTTTCACAAAAAATGATTGACTGTGGATAATCTCAAAAATCATTTGGACTAAAAAGCCAAGGCAGTAGCAACGACGGGGGAAATTAAGCCAAAATATTTACACCATTTTTTGTCACCAATCCATCAAGCAAAGAGATTCCCAAGTGAAATGATTGGCATCGCATAGCAGAGCAGAGCATCCAAGGCGGGAATCAGAATCACTGCAACAGTTACTTTTGGTGTGTGTTTTTTCCTCTGAGCCCATATGACATTTTTGTCAGACAAACATGGGGTTGAAACAGTTTGATGCCAAAGTTTGAATGTGATGTTGTCACTCAGTCGTGGCTTTTCTTTAGTTGTTGTATCCTTCTCAGATGATCCTGCGTTCATGTTCCTTAGTGGCTTGTCGTGGTTGTGCTTTCCCTCGTACGTGGTGATGAAAGCTTTGGGATCATCCGAGACTGTTTCGACATGCTTGCGCACGCTGCATTTGAGACTGGTACATCTGTAGTAACTTCTGCAAGATCATAAAAACTATGGAGTAAGCACTAGCTAGCCACAGAGAATCTTGCGTCCCACTGCAGATGTCATGAATGCACAAACATCACTTGATGACCAACTTAAGCAACTAAGTCTTAACATAATCGATAGAGGTTGGTTATATATTGGATTAGGATCTCATTCTGAAAAGTAATGTCTCGAGTTCGGATTACCAAAATACTTCGTTATCAACAAAAACGGGGGTAGATTTGAGACCTCATCAACAACACAAAAAATATTAGTAGACTAAGAGCTAGAGGTACATTGTACGAATGAGACAGATGAGCGCACACATGCAAGAGGAAAATTAGCCAATTGCTCTAAGAGGTGTGGATACATTTCCTAAAGAAATAAAAATGAGTTTTCACTCTTTCTAACCTGGGATATGGATTTCCCTGAACAACTTTCTGACCGTACTTCCTCCAGCGGAAGCCATCACACGTCATATCAAATTCAACAGAATTTTGCACCACAACACGAGGATCTTGGACCCCTTCCTCTGATATACCTGCTTCAATGGAATGATTATCACTTTTTCTGAAGGAAAATCATAGTTAAACATAGTCAATGAGATTAACCTTCAACAAAGTATTATGAAAGAAATGCTCATCAAGAATCAAGATATTTCAAACGCATTTTTAATCCAAATAGTCAGGGTCAATCACGGAGAAGGGAAGAGACAAGAGAAGAGAATGCTTGAATGGATTAATTGTATATTTCATTGATACGTGAAGGAGAAATATATACAGTTGATATGCACAATCAACTCCATAGAAATTGGGGTTGACTTCCTAACTAGGAAAATAAATAAAAACTAAGTATACAAATAATTAGGGATTTGTTCCTATTGAGATCTCATTGATTTGTCAACACTCCCCTTCAAGTTGATGCATATATGTCACCCATGCCCAACTTGTCTAAGAAACTTGAAAACTTATGACTAGAAACGGCTTTCGTGAGAATATCTGCCAACTAATTTTCTGTTCTAATTGATGGTACTTTAATTATTTTCCCTTCCAATTTTTCCTTGATAAAGAATCTATCAACTTCAACATGCTTCGTTCTATCATGTTGTACCGGATTATCTGCAATGTCACATGCGGCTTTATTATCACAAAATAATTTCATAGGCTGGTCATTTTTAATTCCCAAATCCTGCAATAAAAGTTTAAGCCACAAAATTTCACAAATTCCAAGGGCCATTCCTCTGTATTCGGCTTCTGCACTGGAACGGGCGACCACATTCTGCTTCTTACTCCTCCATGTAACCAAGTTACCCCCAACAAATGTAAAGTAACCTGATGTTGAGTGCCTATCATCAACCGAACCTGCCCAATCTGCATCAGTATAACCTTCAACTCCAAGATGGTTATTTCTTTTAAACAAAATCCTTTTTCCTGGACTTCCCTTCAAATATCGCAAAAGCCTTATCACTGCATTCATATGTTATTCTTCGGGATCATGCATGTATTGACTCACTACACTCAAGGCATAAGTAAGGTCCGGTCTTGTGTGTGCTAAGTACATCAAACGGCCTACTAATCTCTGGTATCTCCCTTTGTCAATTGGTACTTGATTCAGATCAACATAAAGCTTTAATCCTTCCTTTAATGGTGTAGATACTGGCTGACAATCTGACATGCTGGTTTCATGTAATAAATCAATAATGTACTTTCTCTGAGACAAGAAAATTCCCGAATTGCCTCTCGATACCTCAATCCCTAAAAAATATCTCAAGGATCCAAGGTCTTTCATCTCAAATTCAGTAGACAAGTATCTTTGCAAGGCCACACGTTCTTCCGAATCATTTCCTGTTACCACCATATCATCTACATACACAATAAGTGCAGTAAGCTTCCCATTTCGTCTTTTCAAGAACAAAGTATGATCAGAGTTACTTTGTCTATAACCAAATGCTCTCATTGATTTTGTGAATCTTCCAAACCATGCTCGAAGGGACTGCTTCAAACCATACAAGGATTTCTTCACCTACACACCTTTCTTTTGTGTTTATCTGGAGTATTACATCCTGGTGGAAGATCCATATAAATCTCTTCTATCAAATCTCCATGCAAGAAAGCATTCTTCACATCGAACTGTTGTAAAGGCCAATTGAGATTTGTAGCCAAGGACAACAAAACTCGAACTATGTTAATCTTGGCCACAGGTGCAAATGTATCTGTATAGTCAATTCTATATTTTTTAGTTTACTACCAGTCTTGCCTTGAAGCGATCCACCGTCCCATCAGCTTTGTACTTCACAGTATAAACCCATTTGCATCCCACAGGTTTCTTACCAGTTGGTAAGTCTGTGATCTCCCAGGTAGCATTCTTCTTCAAAGACTTCAACTCTTCATTCAATGCTGCTTGCCAACGTGGATCAGCTAAAGCCTCTTGCACATTATTAGGAATATATACAGTAGATAATTGATACACAAATGACTTATTTGAGTCTGACAGGTGATTGGTAGACACATAATTACTTAACGGGCATAACACATCAGACTTAAGGTGGGCTTATTCACCAAATACCTAGTTTTGCACTTAAAATCAGCTTCGTAAGTGGCTTTAGGAATACCTCGGTTGACACAGTTAGCGAGACGACATGGTGGTGGTGGTGGTGCATTTGGAATCGAAGGCGATTGATTATGGTTATTGGGGCTCAAAGATGGTGAAGCCAACTGTGAGGGCCGCGTGGAAGCTGGTAATGCGGAAGTTGGCAGTGAGTTGTTCGGCGACGTAAGCTCGTCTCTTTCAAGGTTTTCAACATTATGATCATGTGAATGATCACCACTCGTCTCCAATGAATTACCACTTAATTCCAAGTCATTCGCATTATTTTCATGTGAATGATCACCACTTGTCTCCAAGACATTATCACTTAATTCCAAGTCATTCACAATGATCACCACTTGTCTCCAAGACATTATCACTTAATTCCAAGTCATTCACAACGTTATTTTATTGTGAATGGTCACCACTTGAATCAAAATCATTCACAATAACTGTATCCGGAATACTATAATCAAGAGTTTGAACTTTTGTTTGATGCTCCCCCTGAAGTGAAGACTTGAGATTGGCATAGTACATATCATTCTCATGAAATGCAACATCCACAGTGACAAACAACTTTTTCGTTGGAGGGTGATAACATCGGTATCCTTTTTGTTGTGAGGCATACCCCACAAACACACACCGCAAGGCCCAAGGTTCAAGCTTACTTCTCTGCTGCTTATGAAGATGAACGAATACCACACAACCGAACACGTGAGGTGGGAGATTGGAAATTGGAAGAGCATCAACATGGGAGACGAGAGCCTGAAATAGTGTCTAAAAATTAACTGATCGAGAAGAAACACGATTAATGAGATATGCAACTGAAGTGAGAGTTTCTCCCCAGTAGGATAGCGGAAGACAAGCCTCAAGCAAGGAAGCACGAACAACTTCCAGAAGCAGACGGTTCTTACGTTTTGCAACCCCATTTTGTTAAGGAGTGCTTGGACATGTAAATTGATGAACAATATCATGATGATCAAGAAAGGCACGAAGCTCATTGTTCACATACTCGCCGCCATTATCACTCCTGAGAACCTGTATTTGTGACTTATATTGTACTTGCACCATTTTGTGAAATCACTGAAACAAAGAAGTAACTTCATTTTTGGACTTCATCAAGCAAGCCTAAGTTATACGTGTGCAATCATCAATAAAAGTAACAAACCAATGATCCCCGACACCGAAATATTTATTTTATTTCGGAAAATATTAGTATTGGTGATAGGCCCAAAATAACCCTTATTTAGTTTATTAGCATTAGTTACGTTCTTTCGCTTCAATGATTTACTTTCTTACAACACTATCCATAGTTTATTTCTCTTTTTCTTTTTTATACCAAAACAACAAATTAAAATACTAACTTAATTCACAAGGATTAATCAACAACTCCTAATAAATTCCTTCATCCCACGAGCAAAACAATATTTGGTGGACCAATTTTCATTATGTAACCTTAATTCTCGAATTTATTTATATTTAACCTCACATAATTTTATGGTTGCATCTAACGTCTCGTTAGACTGCCTACGTACCCTAAACAGGGATCAAGCCATTCGTAGTTCACAATTCAAAACTTCAACCAAATCCCGAATATATTCAATTAATCCAACATATACAACAATCGTATTAATATCCAAACCTCAGCAGTTAGTTTTCAAAAATATTAATAAAAATTTGAATTTTGGCATAAAACATAATATTGGCTCCCTAGCCGTGCGCCGCCGCACGCACCGCCGTGGGTGGCGGTCGACCGCCCGGCTCGCCAGAGAATTTAACTATTTCTAAAATTTCCCAAAAATTACAAAAATGAAGATCTCAAAGAGTAGAGCAAACTTTATACCTGTGGCCAAGCCCAATTTGGCTTGGAAAGGCTCCAATTTGCCTCTAACCCGTTGGAACCCTAGAATTTGGGTGTCCCCGATTTGTTATCTCCGGTGTTCCACCGCTCCAACCAAGGCTTGGGTTTTGTTCTAGGGCTCAAGGGGAGTCTAAAGGTGGTTGTAATTGAACTAAAACATTTCAGATTTTGATGGATTTCGAGCAAGGAAAGTCGCGGCACCCATGAGGTGTTTTCCCCAATTCTTAGATTAATTAAACTCCAATTTGTGGTGGAATAGGTAAACGAGATGATTAGAGATAATTTTCAGGTGGTGGGGGACCTTAATTTCGTCGGAATTTGGCCGAGAGAGGATGAATCTCGCCGGTTATGCCTCACGGGTCAAAAGACTCGTTTTCCCCTCCTATTTTCTTCTCTCATTTCCCTCCTTGTTCTCCCTCCTGATTCGCCCCCCCCTTCCTTCCTTTCTCTCCTTCCCTTTTCCTCACAACCGTTCCTCCTTTTCTTCCTTTAATCTTAGCCACACACGTGGCTTTCCCAGATTTGGCCTAAAAATCTGGAATCTTCTCAAAACGATCAAGTGACCATTTTGTCCCTGACTTTAAACGTCAATAACTTCTTCGTCATAACTCCGTTTCACGAACGATTTGCGCCTATGTGTTCGTGAGATCGAGCTCTATTTAAAAATATAAATTATGACCTTGTACGGTCTACTGATTTTAAATAATAT